CAAAGTGCCTTTCCCAAGGACACAACGTCGGGCCCCTGACGGGATTAGAACACACAACCTTACGGTTGCGAGTCCGAGAGCCTAACCACTAGGCCACCGACATGCGGGCATTCACCTTCCGGCTTCCGAACCGTCACAGAAGTGGGATAGCTAGCCATCTCAAATAACATCTTTCATATAGAATGTGCTTTAATCATTTCACATCCGAGACAATAACAGCAACGAAATCAAACAACAAGTCAGTTGACGTTTTTGTTTTTTAATACGGGGTGCCCACTACAGATGGGATCGGCCGACTCAAAAACAAACGTGTTTGTTTTCAGTTTCAGGCGATCGAGTCAGGCGATCGGCCCGATCCAGCCGTAGTGGGCACCCCGTATTAGGAGAAGCGCCTAGAGCTGTGTTCACACGTGAGTGGGCGCTATAGAAATTATGATCTTCATTATTAATTAAGAAGTTTGTAAAAACAAAAATCTACTAGATCTAGCTGCAATACTAATAGCTTTTTTATTTTTATTTTTTGTCCTGGACCAGTTGACATTTTTTTCCAAGAAGCGCCTAGAGCTGTGTTCACACGTGAGTGGGCGCTATGGAAATGATCTTCATTATTAATTAAGAAGTTTGTAAAAACAAAAATCTACTAGCTGCAGCAATACTAATAGCTTTGTCTTTATACATTTTTTTTTTCTTTTTTCGTCCTGGATGTGCAGGTATCGCAGACAGACGTCCTTCGCCGATCCAGGAGGCCAAGGGCGGCTACTCTGACACGGACTCCGAGACGAGTAGCGTCTTCTCCTCTTTCCGAGACAGCAGCTTCTCAGATAATGGGACGTGTTCCCCCTACCCGGGCCCGCTCTTACTCAGGTACATTTGTAATGTGGGTCATTGTACTGAAGTAAGGGGGTTGTCAAATTTCAGGGAATGGAGAAATCATTTTTTTGTTTTGTTTTTCATCTCTTGGGCGATTTTGTCTAAGTTTTATAATACTTTACTATATATATATTTTCACTGAAACCGTCTCCACTCTTAAAGACACATTTTAAGGTGAATTTTACCAAAGTTTTGTTTAAAAGCATGTTATTTATTTTGTACAACCAGTGCGACTATTCAGCTTTGAAAGTCACAAAATTTCGCCGACCATTTTTACAGTCCGTTTCACCTGCAGCACCAGGTAACCCCGCTCATAATGTCTCGACCTCTGTACAAGATGTATGTATTCATATTTTTGCTACACATGTTAACCATATCCGTACGCCCTGGCGTAATTTTGTACCCCCGGGGTTGTATTCTTCACATTTTAGAATACTTCTAGAGCGAAGATCTCTTTGAAACTTTCAGTATTTCTCCAAAACTCATTTTGACAGACTGCTATGCAAAGCGTACGGATCGGATTAACGAGTACATTTCCTCTTTCAAAAGTGATGGCACAGAGCTCCCCACGTCGTATGGATACGATAGTAAAACACGGCGTACGGATAGGGTTAAATAAAAATAATATACAAGCTCTAATTTGAAACCGATAACTTCGTATTGTGCTAAAAAATATTGACAAGGGCCTGATTCCACTAAGCTGTTTTGTCTGGCGGCGAGTTTACCATTCATTCAGTCAGACACTCAGGAATACACTTAACATGGAACCAGGGGATTCAGCTTCCACCTGGGGGCTGCCATCTTTATTCTCTGACCCTGCCAGGTCTTTTTCCAAGCCTTAAGGCCAAACATGAAATGCCAAATAGGACGTAATAACTCCAGTATCATTACATACGCTGCGACACATTTTAATCACTTTTGTTTATGTTTTTCCACTGAAGAGTACTGGAGAAAATGACGTTAGTCTCAAGTTTCAATTTTGCCTTCAGTTGTTTTGATTTGATGTTTGACTTGTTCCATTTTGTCCACCAGTACCATTAAATAATGTGTATTGCGTCATGGGGAAATCAGGCCCTAGTCAAAAAAATTTATCGAAGAAACCAGTATTTTCCCGCCCTATGGGCAAAATAAATTAATTTCTATCTATTTTTATTTTAGTTAACCGCCTTCATGTCCATAAAAAACCCATTTCTGTGTAGATTTTACTGAAACAAGTTGTTTAAAGCACAGAATTAATTAAATCTCTTGTTTCCGAGGACAGTAAAGCTTTACAAGTCCTCAAAACTGGAGGCCATTTACTCATTTTCTCTCTGTTTATACCTCTGACATCTCTTTAAACTGCAAATATTATTTCGACTTCTATGAAAGACAGATGGGAACTTTTTTTTATCACAAGCAAGACAAACAAAGCAGCTTTAAGATGATACCAATAATTCTATGTACTTCCTGAAACCTGACGCGCGCCTGATTTTCCTTGTTATAATAATATACAACATTCATACAGCGCTCGTCGTTGATATTTTTTCTTTTAACTAATACCATCCGTCCACTGAGGTCTTTAAACGTTTTTATCTGTCTTTGAAGACCGTTTTGACACACACACACACACACACACACACACACACACACACACACACGCACACACACATATACAAACACATACACACACATACACACACACATACACACACACACATACACACACATACACACACACATATACACACACACGCACTCACATCCACCCAACACACACACGCGCGCGCGCACACTTGCCCTTTCAGTAATCTGTTGATTTTTTCTATGACTTTACCTGTAAAAGGTTTGTGTCTTTTTAAAAGCAGTTTTAACTTGGAATTTCTGTTCAGTATATTATTTTTATTACGTTCTTTTCTGCGACTTTACTTGTAAAAGACCAAGTCTCTTAGGCCTCGCAGTGTAGCAGGGACGCTGTCGCGAGCACTTCGGTAGCGGTTTACGACGTGTCTGCACGACACCTACCACATTACTACTAGTCACGAGTAGGCCAAGACGATACCGACGGACGAAAGACAAAAAAGACGCATGTCACCCACACTACAACTCTCACCAATCTCCTACAAGTATTAAGAAGATATCTAACTATCACAGCCAACAGCAGACTTATATAATAAATGTCAAAAGGGGGCTCTCGTGGCCTAGAGGTTAAGGTGTTCGCCTCGCATTCAAAAGTCCGGGGTTCGAATCCCGGTAGCGTCGGAAAATATTTCTTCTCTAAAATTGTCTCCTTTCACCTCCTTGGTCTGCTTTCGTTTCCATTTTTGCCCCCACCCTCTCATCTCCTTTGCCCCCCCCTCCTTTGGGCTCCTGACTCTCCCTGCAGCTTTTTTACTGCTTCTTCTTGGCTCCTTCTTACTGCTGTCTTTCAGCCCCATCTCTGATCTCCTGGTCGGAAAGATCTACACCTAGCCTTCTCGGATAAGGGCGAAAAATCTCGAATGTCCAGTGTACAAGTTGTGCACATTAAAGAACCCTTGGTGGTTCAAATCGGTAAGAGTAGGCTTCGGCCGTCACCGCGCAAAATGCTAAATTTTCTACCAGCTGAAAATGTTTGGTGTATCCCGCGCGCTCATATGACCGTATGCAGTTGCGAGCGCCGAAAAAAACTTACCAGAAAAAAATAACAATTTTAACCTTCCTTTCAGAACTTAGTTGACCACGTACGCGCATCTGGGGTACTCATGCTCAGTGGACCACGTTTTGGTTGCCTGGATGTTATTCACAAAATACAGTTTACTTTCTCTAAGAATAGGGGTAAGGGTAGGGTCAACCTGGGATGAGAGGGATACAACATCTCAGCAGAAAGAGATTCTCAATAAAAATTTCTCCTCGCTCGGGAATGGAACTCGGGTCTCCTGTGTGAGGCACCAAAGCGCCTAACCGCAAAACCACAGACGCTGGTGAAATGAATAACGCGAGAGGTGATACATAAAACTGAAAGGAAAAAAAGACGCCGTGAAGGTCAAGGAAAATTAACGGAATGCTAAAAATAAACCTCTCTCAACTTACCTCACGACGAGATGCAATAATGAGTTTGCATTGGGCCATGGGGAGTGTGTGGAAAGGTCAACATCGTGAGTTTGCTCTGATACGTGAAAATGACATAGTAGTGAATAACTCGATATATGGCCCGTTCTGTTTACAAAGAGGAGTAAGGTAACATTTTAAATCGAACTACATGTGTTCTGAAATACCAGATATCGGTTTAAAACTTAATTGTACCCAATGGACATGATGATACGCTCTTAATGCCGACAAAGGCGACGGATGGCATGGTAAAAGGTTTGTTCTCCAGCTACAAACGATGTTTGGTTTGAGAAATGAAGAAGTTCATGCACTGAGCTCCTAAAAGTACCATACAGCTACAGATTTCTGTAAGTGAATATTGATATTTTATAATCTATGCCAAGGTTTGCTTGTGTCGAAAAACAAAAGCAGATTTTTGTATAAATATGTAGACAAGGATAATCATAATTATACAGAGCGTGTCTTAAAATTTGAGTACCTGAATATCCCACCCCCCCTCTCCCCTTTATTTAGGGCTTGGTGGTGTGTAAGAAAAAAAAAGGGAAGGGGGGGGGGGGATTCAGTACACATGCAACATACATACGTCATTGTCTGACAAGGCAAAGGTGTAAAGGTGTAACAGAGATAAATACCCCACTGTAGAAGAACTTCAAACAGTTTTCGTCTTGCACAATCTGCAGCATGTAAAAGTCAGAGGCCTTTGCCGGTGCAGCGATAGAGCGATCAAGAAGATTCGGTGCATTAATTTTATCTTGAGACAAGACGCCTGGAATAAATTTGTGCAAAATGATCTTGTTTGGCTTAGAGTTACGTGACGATATCATTACCTCATCGGTCTTGAACGTGCATCTCTTATGTCTGCAAGCTGTGAAATAAAGTCGACTTTCTTAAAGAATATCTTTTATTCTATTCTTATCCAATATCTAATCCAAAGCCAGACATTAATTTTTCCGGTGGGTTGGTATGCTATGGATATAACAGACATTTCAATCCGAGCACTCGGTTAGTGTAGTTATGGGTTGCAATTAACCCTATCAGTACCCCTCAGGGTTGTATTCTTCACATTTTAGAAAACTTCTAGTACGAAGATCTCTTTGAAACTTTCAGTATTTCTCAAAAAATCACTTTGACAGACTGCTATGCAAAGCGTACCGAATCGAATTAACGAGTAAATTTCCTCTTTGGAAAGTGGAGGCACAGAGTTCCCCACGTCTTATGGACACTAAAGTAAAAAACGACGTACGGATAGGGTTACTCGTCCAAATAGTACCGGACTAAGATGAGTGTGTTGCCAGTTATGACAACTTATTTAATTTGAAGCTCTGGTTCAAGAATGCTCAGTCAGGAATTCGAACCCAAGACATCCGCATCTGTTGATAATATTTCAGAGAGAAACCAGCTACATAGGCCATACGACTTTCTATGTAATTATTCATCGCAAACGACACATTTTCATCAAGATAAAACCGTTATCACAAGTTAAATTTTCATTTTTAGAAAAGAGCTACTACTGTAAATCATTTTGTTTCTCTTGAAGCCTCATTAAAATCTAATAATCATCCGATTTATGGCGTGCAAAAAAACTCAAATAATACTCAAGTGCAATCTCAAGAGACATAATTTACAACTCTATTAACTTCTCACAACCTTTACAGAAACAGAACCGCTGCACACACACACACACCACACACACACACACACACACACACACACACGCACACACGCACACACATACACACACATACACACACATACACACACATACACACACACACAAACAAACACACACACACACAAAAACACATACACACACACACACACACACACACACACACACACACACCACAATTCTGTTCTCTTCACGTCACAACATGTACAGTGTGTGTTGAGAGCGTTGACATTGTCAGTTTTTGGAGCGAGGAACACTA